TCCCCCCTCCCCTAGCTCCATTAATAGTTAGTTCACCAGAACTACTAATTCAGGAGTTAAAGACCAGGGTTCCACTGAAGATGCGCCAAAGTGAGAAAAGCCTACCTTAGTACAAAATATGTTCATGTATTGCAGTGATCATATCATCCAGATTCATCCTCAAAACATGACTCAACTGCTAAGTAGTATTCCATTTCTTGTCATTATCCATTTCTTCTTATCCGCGTCTTATCCGCTTCTTGTCCTTATCCACGTCTTATCCTTGTCCACTTCTTGTCCTTATCCACTTCTTGTCCTTATCCACTTCTTATCCACTTCTTATCCACTTTTTTACGTCTTATCCTTATCCACTTTTTATCCACTTCTTATCCACTTCTTATCCACTTCTTATCCACTTCTTATGCACTGCTTATAAACTTTTTTTTACTTCTTATCCACCTGTCGCTAACGGGTAAGGCAAATATTATGCTCATCCGCTAGGACTCTGCATGCATAGCACATGCATGACACGTACTAGGCTTTCTCAGAGAGCGCAATCGGTCTAACGGAGGCTGTAGCATAGTTACGGTAGGCAAAGATGTTTTTGTTTTCCCCTTCTTCTATTCTTTTCTTTTGCTTTTTTTTGGGGCCAAGACGTGTAAATATGTGTGCTAATGCTTGGGGTCTTCTGCATGTTCCCATGAGTGGATTTTTCTGCATTAGATCTGTAAAGCTTGATGTACTTTTATCGGTGAGAGTAAAACACGTCGCCATGTCTCACATTTACCTGAAAATATTCCCGAATGTCGGAGGGCATGGAGAAAACGCGCAAGGACGAGGAAATCAAAATTTTAAAATTTTCATATGACATTGTGCAGACGATAGGGAGTTGTTAACCATATTTTAGGGCCAATACACTCTCTCAGTGTGCAGGGCCAAATTTTCTGCATTGAATCCACAAAGCTGCACTATACACTCTACTGAGTACCGGTACCAGTATATTGCAGCAGCATTTCACTTTCCCTCTCGTAGGCCCGTAGCTGTGGGTTAGATGCAGAAAATTTGCCCCTGCAACACTGAGAGAGTGTCTAGGTCCATAGGCCCTAAATTTTTCAGCATCTAACCCACAAAGCTGCACTATACACTCTCTCAGTGTGCAGAAGCAAATTTTCAGCATCTAACCCACAAAGCTGCACTATACACTCTCTCAGTGTGCAGAAGCAAATTTTCTGCATCTAACCCACAAAGCTGCACTATACACTCTCTCAGTGTGCAGNCCCACAAAGCTGCACTATACACTCTCTCAGTGTGCAGAAGCAAATTTTCTGCATCTAACCCACAAAGCTGCACTATACACTCTCTCAGTGTGCAGGGGCAAATTATCTGCATCAAACCCACACATGTTTTGTATCTAACTCCCTATAGTGGGCCCACAGGTATCACCAGACTGAGTACCGGTACCAGTATCGGACCCAGAAGCAGCTGCATTTCACTTTTCCTCTCGTAGCTGCTGCAACTCGACCGCCACTTCAAGATTTTCGATGGGATGACTCATACCTTGCCTATATATATATATACTGCTCATTCCCGTGACACCTTCGGAAACTTCATCAGAATTGTGCATATGCATGAGATCCTGAAGGCTACTAAGTTGCGCCATGTGTTGCATTCTCCGGATGTGTGTGCATTACACCCGACCCCCGGCAGCTAGCAGCATTCGCATCTGTGACAAACTCGTGCCCCCAACAAGGGTACAATTCTGTAATTTTACGGAAGTGGCCTTGAGTGTCACTCCGGACTTGTGCCTACCTGCTGCTGCTGATTGCCCTTGTCGTCGGGCGTTTCCTAACTGCACTGATCTGGTTGACGGCCATGTTGTTTCCGCCAACTATGATCTGATTCCGGATGCTAACCTTCGTCGCCTGTTCTA